ATTAAATAAGTACTAATTAAAAACCAAAGTAAAAAATTTTTTAAAAAATCAAATTGGATAAATTTGTTAATAAAATTAAATCCAATCTGTTAGCAATTTGATATAAAAAGCTACATTAAATAGTTTTTTCAATCTGTTAACAGTTGAACCCTAATTACCATCCGCTAGTCTCAAATTACTAAATAAAATTTTTTACTAAACACATAGTTTATAGTGATTTTGAAATGAATAAATGTATTAAACATATATTCTTAGTGATTTCAATAAAATCACTACTGTTACTTCCAAACTACTATACCAAATGGATCTTAAATATCACAATTTTCATATAATATCAAATGAGTGTATACTTACCATTTTACTATTTTATGTGTCTCACAAAAATTAAGAGCTAATAAAAGATAATATTACATCATATTGTAAAATATTACTGTCAATAAATTATTTTTTCTAATAAAATGATCTCAGCACATTCGTACATGATAGTGATTATGACAATTATTCACTAAGCAAAATTTATAAGTTCAATCTGTATTTTCTTTAAACAACTTATTAAGGTATTTCAAAATATTAACATATAAATTGATTTTAAATTTCAAACTAAAATCAATTAAGTTATTAACTATTAATTAATAATTACAGCTACCAATTGTTCTTAATAACTAAAGCTAAACCATACAGACTATGTATGTATCAACTTCACATTATAAAACATCCACAATTTCCGAGATACATTGGTGGTATTAAAAGTTTATACTTTATACATATAACGGTGACACCAAGGGATTCACCGACAGACCTGATAAATTAATGCAAATTAAACTTTGAACCTACATGCAGCATGCTCTTACCTATAGGAATTAATAAAGGATTATCATATATATGTTGGGACAATGCCTGGCACATGACTTCCCAGTCAAAATGTTGACCGAATAGGCTAATCCATCTTTTATTTGAAGCTCAATGAAACTATATATATAATTAATAGGACTAATAAAATATGATTAATTAAGCCAACACTTAACATATAGTAAGTCCTTGACAGATACCATCATGTGACCAACATGCTACCATGCTCAGGGGGATCTATTTTCTGAGTAACAATTACGACCTCCCCTAATCATAACTGATATGCAATTTGATTATCTTTGATAAAATTATTAAATTAAAGCTATACCTTTTTTTTTTTTTTTGAAAATAGGTAATGAAAAATTAAAGCTATACCGATTTAGAAAAGTTGTTATTATTAATTTCTGATGGCCCAATCTTTATTCTTTTGCAGTGAAAAGCAACAATAGATTTTATCTTTCAATCTCTAATAAAATCTTTTGTTGGTTTATAGAGTACGGAATGATACTAGCATCACACTTTTGAGTTTTTTTTTTTTTTGATAGTAGGGAATTTTAAGGAAAGAGAACATGGATATAAAACTTAGGTTTTAGGTGTTCGAACACTTCTCGCATTGGAGTAACTAGTAGACCACTACGTGCTGGACCACACTTTTGAGTGTGTTTTTTTTTTTTTTTTGACTTAGAGGAATTGTTAGGAGATAGGGGAGTAGTGCACATGAATAGATAGGAATAGATCCCAAGATTTTCACAAAGGGGATGGTTACTAAGTCAATTTCTAGGTACATTTCCACAAAGGAATGGTCACTAAGTCATATAATGTCGAACTTGAGTTTTAAAATCAAAGTAAATAGACATTATACTATTTTGTTATAAATGATTGAGAAAAGTGATTGTCAAAAAGTAAAACTTATTAATGAAAAGGTAAAAAATAAAAATGTGACATTTTAAGATTAATTAGCATTAACATTTGAAACACTTTAAGGTATGCCAATTATTCTATTAAACAGTAAATTTTACCTAATAAAAAGTGCATAAAAAGTAAAAAAGAAAAGAAAAAAGAAAAAAGAGAGGTTTTTGTAAGGTTGAAGAAGGAGGGCATGTTCTAGCACATGATTGAGAGAGATTGATTCATGAAATGCTTCACAAAATTCAATATGAATAGCAGCTATAATTTGAGTACAATGCATCCATAACCCAGTTAAAATGTTCAAACCCTAATCTAATGAAAACCAGGGAATTGAAGAAAAATCATAGGAAGATGTAAATTAATTAATATATGCAAAGAGTGAGAACCGAAAAAGAGAACATTTGTTCCATTTTAGGGGTTACTTCGTTATATTAGGACATTAGAAAATGGTTTGATTCTTCATCTGAAGGTGGGTCAGACTGATTGGAGAGGCAGAATAAATAAAAAGGAAAATGCATGTGATGGCACGGCTTTCAATTCACCGATGACCCACCATTGACTTGTACCGCTTTCGGTCTTCTGTCTTCTTTATACAATACAAAAAAGGCAAACCCCCACTTACGTCCCCAAATTTATCCAAACTAACATGTGAGTTCTAGAACCAAAAACGATACAATAAGCTCTCAAACTTCTTGCACGACAGAAGTTAGTTCTCAAACCCCTCAAAAAAGGCAAATCAACACTCATTATTAACGGCACAACACATGTAACTCACACTATTTATTATTTTTCTTTGCTTGATCATACATTTCTTTGTGAATATTAATGTGGATAAAAGAACTCCTTGAACTATAAAAACCCCACTAAAAAAAATCACGCAGCTTGAGAACACTAAATAAAAAAGAGAGAGCCATGTGAGTCATTTTGGTGAGATTTTTACTATTTAAGGGATCTTTTAATTCACGTTAATACTTACATGAAAAAATGAGATTAAGTGAAGAAAAAGAATAAACATGAGGTCATATGCATTGTGCCGATACTGATGAAGGCTAATTTGCATCTTTTAAGGGATTTGAGAGCTGAGTTGCATCATTTGAGGGGTATGAGGTTGATTTGCAATATTTTTAGTTTATGAACTCACATGTTAATTTGGGATAAATCTAGTGGCTTAAGAGTTCCTTTTGCCTACAAAAATTCTTTTAAATTAATCCGCAAATTTACTAAAAAAAAAAGAAGCAAAGAAAGAAAAGAATCACTTTTATTTGTGAATCCTTACATTATATATCATAATACTTTCAATAATTGAATTTGAATTTTAACCATCTATCATTTATGTAAAAGGTTGAATTTTAATTCTAAACCTATCATCTATTCAATAGAATTTCATAAATTTCAACTATTAATAATCTATTTAAGAAATACATATTTAAGTGTGGCTTCCAACTCAAAATCTATGATGTATTGTTAAAAATTTTTACAATTGTATAGGTGCTCATTAATGGTTAATTTTGATTTAATAAAATGAATTGAATAGATTGATATTGTTAATGCAAAGGATATTGATATATGCACCCTCCGAAAGTTATATATTTCGTTAAACACTGATGGTTTCTATTAGTGTGTCATTAAAATCGATAGAAATCATTACTTTTAACAGTAAAAATAATAAAAACTGTCAGTTTTAATGATACAAATAACAAAAACTATTAATTTTAACAGTACATTAACAGAAACCATCAACATATAACAAAGTGTATAATTTTAGAAGATTTATGTATCATTTCCCTAATCCAAACTAATAAAGAATGAGTGTAAAGCACAATTATTGTGGTTATTTAGTAAACTTAACACATCTCTTGAGATAACGTGAAGATGACTAGTATAGATCCAAACTCGAAATGATTAATATTAAGATTTTAATATAATTAAATATTGTGTCATTTTTCATGCTAATTATATGATATCTATTTATTAAAAACCATAATGCTCTGCACCTAGATTTTGTGGCCTGATAATTATATATATATTTTTTTTTGTAAAGTGCATTATTAATTTTAGAGTTAGGGTTCGAATCCCTTTTCTTTAAATTATTCGAACCCTTTTCTTTAAATTATAATTCATTAAAAAAATCATTATTTTTATGTATGTTAATCTTTAAAATAATTTAAAAATTATTTTTAATTTATAAAACATCTATTAAGAACATAATTTATCTAATTTACCATATCTTAGCATCATAAATTTTATCAATCTCAATCCTTAAAATATATCAGTGTCCATAGGAGTATGGTATAACCCTATAGATTCCAATTGCGTTGAACTTTACAGTGGCATTATAAAAATAAACGAACTGAAAAATGGATCCCAATTCCAAAGGCCAGAGTAAATTAAGAGTATAAATAAATATTAAAAACAAGGACAACAATTAGGGTTGATGATGAGGATAGAATATCAAAGCTGCAGACCGCAGTCGCAGCGTTGCAGCGTATGAAATGTCACCCATGTGCCAGTCCAATAATAGACCCTTTGAAACAACTCTCACTCTCTCTCTCTATGGCTCGGATAAAAATGGGAAAACTTGAATACCAAGAGTCCAATACCAAGCAAAATGGAATTTGTTTAGGGTTTGCAGTCACGTGAATAATGAAGCATAGTAATAGCTATAAAGTAATTTTATTTTATGATTTAAACAGTAATTATATTATAAAATAAAAAATTAAAAGGTTCTTTTTTATTTAATATTTAATGTTGTATAATTAGTTATAATTCAAGCCATATAATATTTTTTTAATTATAATCAAAACAAAAATAAATTTCTTAGTCTTAGCATTTCTAACTAAAAATTATGTTAATATCTTTAATAAATCAACAAATTTTAGTATCAAAATTGTATACAAAAAGCATAGTAATACTAAAAATAACAAATTCTATTAATTTTAATAAATGTTAGAGTAATTAAGAATTTGGAGGTCATTTCATTCGGTTCTCTCAACGGAGGAGACGTCCGTGAGTGATAAAGTTAATCATTGTTGTACACTAGTAATTTTTTTTGTTTATTTAGAGCAATTAGTATCCAAAAATTCATTAAATTATCGATTAATTTAAATCTGAATCCAAAAATCCATTAAATCATTGATTAATTTAAATTTGAATTGGACAAAATCTAATAAATAATAAAATTTTTTCTCATAAATTTTAACAGAATTACATGTTTAAAATTTAAAATCAAAATTTTTAATTAAACTAAAAGAATTATCTGTAAATCCAGTTACCGGTCTACTAATAATTGTCACAAGAGATACTGTAAGCAAAACCACTTGGAAAACCAACTGCTTTCTAAGCAAGTTTAGAGGTATTCTTCTCGGAATCCTAAGATGGATCCTTTCTTTCACTCGCTCCTCCATCGGATTGACTTCACGCTCCACCTCCCCCTATATATGAGTCCTTCCGACATACTTCATCACCTCAGCTCCTTTTACCTCTCTAAGATCCCTTCACCGCTGACACATCTTGTACAATGATGCAAATGTGGCTTCTCTGGTGGGCAAAGAGCACGGCCACCACCAAGAACTGCGCTGATGCTGATGCCGCCGCCACTACCACCACCATCACTACCACCAACAGTACTGAGACGTCACCAAGTTGTTATGGTTCGTGTCTGAGGAAGTTGGTGAGGAAAGTGAAGAAACAGGGAAAAGCCATGCTACGCGCCGCCACGGCAGGGCGGCCCAATAAGTTTGAGTGTCAGTATGACCCGTCGAGTTACTCTCTTAACTTTGATACGAGGATAGATGATGAAGACTACTATCAGTTCTATGCCTTCTCTTCAAGATTTGCAGCCAACCCAAGAACAACTTCATCAACCTTAGAAGCTGGTTCTCACTAGGAAAGGCAGCTTTGCCCCCCCTTTTTATTTTTTTTGTTCTTGGTAATTTTTAGGTTAATTTTATTTGCATATTATTAGTATGTGTACAAATGGAGATGAAGAAAGAGATTACTTGTGTTTCTCTGAATTGTGATTCCACAAGAATTTTACCATATAGTTTAGAGAAGTCCATTGAATTGGGTTCTTTTGATTTTTCAAAAACCCATGAAATGAATAGGCTTTGTTTTTGAAAATGCAGGAAGACGTGTGCAAATGTTAGAGCATGATCAAGTTAGTTTATGATGATGGGAGACCAAACTCCGAGAGAGACGGTGAGCATATCCACATACCATGTGGCCTTGCCTTGTTTGTTCAGAAAATATACATACAAATATTCAGGCATGTATGTGTAATTTTTCGGTACTCACTCGGACCTTCGGCCCTACAAGTGATCTCATCCACAAGTACCGAGTACCCAGAGTTAAGAAAAGGAGATTTAAACCTGCGCCACCGAGCACGCAAAGTTAAGAAAAAATGATTTAAACCTGCGCTTCCAGCACGGTTCAAGTTGCTCCTTGCCACTTTACCAGTATATAGTACAATAGCAACAAGGAAACAACTTTGGCATATTGATCCTTTTGACTAAATTCCATCATCTACAAAATATTTGGTTATAGGGTCTGCGCCTCTGGATGTGGAGATTACATTTAAGAGTTTCCTGTTTTATAGTTTTACTACACGAGACTACAAAACATGAACTAGTAAATGGGGAAAGAATGCCCCCAATATCAAGGGGTCTGCCTCCATTCAAGGGTTGTAATCTAGATTGCATAATACTTTTCTGTTACATTATTATGAAAAATAGACCTTTAAAGGCTTGCTAAGCAGGTGACATGAGTTCTCAATACATTGGAGGCAACAAAAGCATCAGCAAGCTAACAACACTATATCTGTGGATTTTCACTAACAGAAAACTTTACACTAGACACCAAGTCCTAAAACGATCCTGTCTAATGTGTATGCCTACTTAAACACTCACTGCATTACAAAACCCGAGCACATCTTTAAGAGGCCCGGAATTCCATGGGCATGAAAGAGTTTACCTATTTTGCGCTTTCTACTCCTTTGTAACAGCTACGGTTCATGGTCACTCACGGGATTATCTGATACAGTGCCTTCCGATGATATTTCCTCTGTACCTGGATGTTGAGGCAGAGAATGATTGGACTGAGTCTTGCTTGAATCCCCACTATCAGGCTCATCTTGTCTCACCTCCTGAAGCTCATCATGTATGTCAAGAGGATGGGTTTCCCTGGCCTGTGATTTGTCTGAATGACCTTGTGGATCTGGAAATCCAACATGGTCAATTGATTTGGGCAATAGAATCTTGCCATCAAGCAAGCTTGAACTTGTCATACTGGAAGCTGATGACAAATGTGCACCTGGAGCAACACAGGAAGCTACCAGTTGAAGCACTTCAGGAGATGGGGACAACCCTGAGGTTCTTTTCTTTGGTGGGATTAGGCTTGCTGGTGAAGGCAAGGGGTTCATCATATTTAAATTTAGAGGTGGTAATTTGTGATTAGCATCACTCCAGGGAAAACCTAAACTTCCACTCATTGGTTGTGGCAGCAGCTGAAGTTGTGTGGCCAATGGAATTGAGCTTGATGGAGGATTGCTACCATGAACGCTGCTGCTTCCAGCTATGTCAGGAACCTGCCCGAATTTATGTGACTTTTTCTGCTGCTTCTTCTTCTTGAAACTACACCTTGGATCCTTTGGTTGGACAGGAGGGGGACCAGGCACCACAAATGGGGGAATGGTTGATGTATCTTCCCCATAGACTACACGAACTGAATGAGCTATTGCTGACACAGTGGGCGGAAGATCAGGATCAGGTGTTTTTACTGAATTGCTTACAGCTTCCCGAAGCCAATGGGGCAGCTTGTTCTCTGAAGAACTACTACCAGCTACTTCTCTTCCCCCCATATCAGAAATATTCAGCCCTTTACTTGGCCCAGGTAGCAATCCAGAATTGACAGATTCCCCACTTCCAATGTTCTTGGGATAATCACACAAGAGATGTAGTGATCCATCCAGCAAACTAGGCAACTTCCCATTCTTCAAACTATGGTCACCCTCTTTCCTGTCTAAATCAAAGCCACTTGGGCAATTCAAACCTACAGAACCCAAGTTGCCAGCTCCATAAGTGTCAGGCAGAGACGGTTTGTCACAAGCTAAATTTGAAGATGTCCCAGGTATATCAGAGGGTCCTGCTGTAGAATCTCCAGAAAATTTTGCATGAAGTTTGTCAAAATGCCAGGGCGGAATAGGTGGAAAATGCTCATTCTGCAAACCAAGCTGCTCCGGTGGCTCAAAATGTGGCAGGCTGGAACCTAGATCACCAAAACCCAACTTCATTTCCGTCAGGTGTGGCTGAAATTTTGGTGGTGCAGCAAGTCTACTTCCTTGCAATGCACGTGTCATCATACCATCAGGAATGATTGGAAATGATGACAATTTGGTAGATTTTGTTGGTTTGGTGGATTTTGAAACTGGAAAATCTGATCCATCCAAAATCTTGACTTCTTCCTCTTCCCACTTAGCTGCCAACTCATCCAAAGTCCTGTACTTTGAGAATTTTAATACAGGGTCCTTCAGCATTGCATCCCAATTGCCCCGTCCATGTCTACGAACGCCAATCCATAGAAAATCAAGTTCATCTTCAGACCATACATCTATCTTTGATTGCTTTTTATGTGAGCTGCCTGACCCAATACCAGTCCTCATCATGATATTTTCAAGCACTCTCCTATGATTTTCTGGAAAAGAACCGAGGCTTGATGGCATTGGTCCCAAACCCAATGTTGGAGGCACTTCCCTCTCTAGCTGATTATACCTGGGTGGATCTTGCAGAGGGAATTTCAAGTTGGGCAGTAACGGCATTGCCAGAAGGTCTTCCATGGAATCATTTACAGCATCAAGCCTGCTCCCCAACGATAAGCTTGGTAAGAGGTCATGAAGTGAAGTTGAAACATTTTGTGGAGGAAGTGGGAATCTAGGAAGCAGTCTCTCATCAAAAGGTAAGTTAGGCAGTGACATCTTTTCCTTAAATTCAGCAAGAGTAGCACTGGAACTTCCTAAATAATCAGAACCTTTTCCTTGTGGAAGAGCTGAAGCATACTGCAAAAAGAACAAGCATTGCAATAACATGCATCATGGACCAAAATATTTTCAAATTGGAGTAAGAAAGAGAGAGTACCGGCTTTAATGGGAGCCAACTATCTAGATTGCTACTTTTAAGATGCTTGTGCAAAATTTCTGGAGATGTATCTGGTAATTTAAACTTTTCCATGTTCTCTTGACATTTTGCCTCTCTCTCAATTGAAGCTCCAGAGGAAAAAGCTAGACTGAAGGGAAACTCTGGTCCAGTTCCTGCCCTGCTTTGCCTGATGTTTGATCTCGAAAAGTTTCTATGGGATGAGTCTAATTGATTGGCATTAGGGGCACAAAGTCCTAGAACTGGCAACAGATTGTTGGCTGGAAAGCTTGGATAGCTTGTGCCCCAAAGATGGTAACTTGGAAGGATTTTATCAGGGAAAGATTGCCCAACATGATTAGCAGAGAGATCCAATTGACTGCTCACTCTATTCTTTGATATCTTCCCAAGCCTTAAGACTGGGTCAGTCCTGCTCTTTGGTGCATCCAATGGTTGGGATACTCTATCATCCTCCAAGTCAATTTCTGAAGACTTCTCATTGTCTGGTTGATTTGATTGGGTGATTCGCTCACCATCTTTGTCAATGGCAGGACATTGAGGAACTGAGCTAGGTCCAGGAAGTACCTCACTTGGATGAGATTCTCCAATTCCACTTCTCTTTGCCAGTCTTTCTTTTTGTCTGGCACGGAGTTTAGCACTGTTCAAAAAGATTATGAAACAAATTACTAAATTATGGTAAAAATATTAAACAATCCCATTCTATTTTTCTGCTGGTGGGAAGCACTTTGACCCAAAATTTTTGTTATGAAAACTTGTCACTACTAAAATATATCAGCAGCTAATATTGTATCAGAGTTATTACCAGCAGAAAATAGTTCAGATGTTAAAAAAAGCAACCAGTTTGCATCTTTGCTGAAATTAGCACAGTGATATTCTTGAGAAGAATTTAACTTACTATTTTGCTTTTAGAGCTCGTCCAGCTGGAGTATACTCTCTTACTGGTTCTGGTTCAGGCTCCCGTTCTTCTTCACCACCACTCTGCTTTGACAGAATAGTGATTGTAAACACCATCAATAATGGTGACAAGAAAAATAAGCATACTTACTAACAACCATGCAAAGCATAAGCATATGTTTTAAGCTAATTACACATCACATATTCATTGATGCAAAATACACAACCCATAACCCATCATTCCTTGTCTGAGTGGTTCGGTTAATATATTGGTTGGGAGTTATTCATGTGGTAATGTGGATAAATTTCTAGGCATCAACTACCTTGCTTCAAACCAAATGAACTAGAATATAGAAAAGGAGAAATGTCAAAGAAATAAAAGGAGAAAAAAATAAAAGGACAAGAAGATATAAAGCAAGACTGGAGAAAGGCAGGGCAATAGGAAAAGAAAATGTAAAATAAATCACAGGGCTAGTGACTAAAAGGTTAAAACAGAAAATTTCAGCCAAAATATGAAGTTACAGTATGTTAAGCAATTTCTACCAGATAACATACAAATTCAATCAAGAATGACAAGAGGTTGCCTATTGTTGGCAATATTTGGCAATTTTGACATCATTTGTTATCAAGGTATGACATGTCATATGAGAAAGAGCAGGCAGCATAATCTAAACCAAAGTTAAATTTCAAACACAAACACAAAATGTTTGTTGGCTTGGGCATCAATCCACATTCTAGAAGGCATTGCTGCAGACATTGGTGAATGCAGTTTCAAACAAGCACCTGGCCTCATGGGCCTACAGTAGTGGGTTCGAACCCTCCTGCCCCCCAAGGCCATGCTATGCTACTAGAAAAGTCTAAATTAGCAAATCAAATGATTTCAAGCACAACATATTTAGTGGCTAAGGGGAATCATTATCATCATAATAATAACAACAACAACAATTTCAGTAATAATAATAAAGTACCTCATTCATTGTTTCATTGGGGTGTGTAGTGTATGCTTCCCTATAAGAAACAGCTTTCCTCTGGCGCTTCCCTCGACCAAGAGCTGCTTCTTCCTCACTTTGGAATTTTTCCCACCTGTAACCCCATAAATGTTGTATAAAGATTCTAAACAAGCACCCTAGAACTTTGCTTCAACTCAAATGTAGGTAAGTTTTTCCACTTTGTAACCTTAGTGTGATTTATTCTTTACAAAGGGAAACATTGGATACCACATTAACCTTTGGAAGCAAATTAATTTAAGAAAACCTCATTACCTTACACGCAACAGTCTGTCCCACTCATTTTCTTCAGTGCTGTTTATCATATTGTCCTCCTTTTCTGTACTTGGTGCCAAACAATCATCAGTGACCACAGGAGGTGACTCACCTCCCCCTTGTTCTTCTGTAGTTTCATCACTCCATTCCGTGGCCTGCTCATGAAGAAATTGTGAACAACTTTTAACACATGAAATACAATCATTTTCCCACCTTCTGAATCATATGCCAAATAACCAGTCTTTAGAAATAGAATTTTAAGGCAAAGGGCGGCAAGGGGGGTGGGGGGGGGAGGGGGGGGGGAACAGGATAAGTCAAATTTAAAAAAAAAAAAAAAAAAAGAGAGATAGGAAGAAGAGGGTTGAGGAACAGTAATGCGAATTATTTGAAGTACAAAGCTAATCTGAGAACCCTGGTACCTTGCATGGGAAAAAAATTCCCTATAATACAGACAAAATAAGTAAGTACACAAAGAAGCACCTGGTACAGGATACTACTTGGAAACAACATGCAATCTTTTGTTGTAAGCGTGCTTATGGCTGGCAGTTAGTTTTCCCACCAGGAGTAAACAAGCATGCAAAAGCCTTTTTTTTTAAGAAAATTATAATCAGTTTTCATCTCAACCAAAAATACAATAGAGAAATTACACACCTACAAAAACACCATCCCAAAGCAGCATCACACAACGGAAAATACCTTAACAGTACCCACTTTGGTTCATTATGCAAAAGCAGTTTTAATATTTATAAGCTGGTTTGATTCATAAATCTTAAAGGCAGACCTTTCAAGCCCCCAGTTAGACCTGGTAAACATTACATTATAACTTATAATCTTAATTTTAGAAATTTCAGTTTGTTAGGATATTTCTGCTGAGAGAGCAGTGAACAGAATAACAAAAGAAATAAAGAACTGACAAATGCAACAAGTAAACAGGTTGTGAATATAACACCTCACCTTTACTGAGCCAAGCATATCATTCTCCAAATCCCCTTCCAAAACGTCAGATGATCCAGACTGAATATTTGAACGATCAAGCAATTTCAGAATTGCATTTTCATCCCACACAATCTTGGTGCTGCCATCTGTACATTTGTCCTTGTACACATCTCCCAGGCTGCCACCACCCCTCTTCCGGTGCTTATGTTCTATATCCATCACCATTTCCACTTTGCTGCTATTATTTTCACCATTGTCTTTTCCATTCATGCAAGACGAATCATTGAAGAGTTCTTCTGTTCCCCATCTCAGAATGTCTTCCACTTCTTTTTGAGATCCAGACTTATTGACAAAAAGCTGATCAAGCATCAGTTTCTTTTTTGCAAGCTGTAATATGCGCTCTTCAACACTGGCACGAACTACTAGCCTATAAACCAAAAGTCTGTTTGATTGCCCAATTCGATGTGCCCGATTCATAGCTTGGATGTCAGCATGTGGGTTGAAATCAGAATCATAGATGATAACAGTGTCAGCTGTTGCCAAATTGATCCCAAGGCCACATGAACGTGTTGATAACAAGAAGACAAATCGACTTTTATCTTGGTTAAATCGTGCTATTGCTGCCTGCCGATCAGCCACTGAAACAGAGCCATCCACTCTGTCATATGTTTTAGGACCAAATTCTATTGTCAAATAATCCTCAAGAATATCAAGAAGCTTGGTCATTTGTGAAAAAATTAGAACTCTATGACCTTCCTTGCATAACACCTTAAGCATGGAATGCAATAGAGTTAACTTGGCTGAAGCCTTTATCCGCATTTCATGAAGAAACTCCACTGATCCAGATTCAGGCTCTGTACCAGGTATGAGGTAAGGATGATTGCAAACCTTTCTTAACTGCATCACAATGTTCAGCATTGATTGCTGAGCAACCCCTTTCCCAATATTCCTCAATATCTGGTAATTCTTAGTTAGCATCGCACGATAGTATTCCGCTTGGATGGATGACAATTCAACTGGAACCATTCGCTCTGTCTTGGGTGGAATATCCTGCATGGCATCCCTTTTTAGCCTTCGAAGCATATGAGGAGCAACAAGTTTTTTCAGTTCCTCCACCTTTTCTGCAGTTGTAAGATCATTAAACTTTTCCTCAAATGAAGACAGAGAAGGGAATGAAGCTGGCTGTAAGAAATTAAGTAAATTATACATTTCCCCGATATTATTCTGAAGTGGGGTACCAGTCAACAGAACACGGTGTTGGAAAGAAAATGTATTTAACAAGCTGAACAGCTTGCTCTCTGAATTCTTCAAACGGTGACCCTCATCAACCACAAGAACTTCCCAAGGAACTCCACGCAAATGAGAGGAATCAGCAAGAACCATCTCATAAGTAGTTAAAAGAACATTAAACTTATAGGAAGCTGTTCTCTTATTCAACTCGTTTGGATCACTAGCATGCCATTCATACTGCCGAATAATAGCTCTTGCTTTTGCACATCCATGATACTCCACAACATTTAAATCTGGAGCCCATGATGAAAACTCAGCAAGCCAGTTGGGCATGGTGGAAAGTGGAACCAGAACAAGACAGGGCAAAGTAGCTTTAAATTCAAAATATAGAGATGAAAGGAAGGCAGCAGCAGACACAGTTTTTCCAAGGCCCATTTCATCAGCAAGTATCACATTTTTGGATTTATGCCAGCATTTACGCAGCCAGTTTAATGCTTCAAGCTGATGGGGAAACAAAGAGCCTCCCTTTAGCTCCTTAGGTTGCTCTGTCAAAGTGACAATATCACTTTGTTGGTAACCAGTCCTCCCCCTAGATTCATCCTTAGCAGCATCTTTTTCAATTGTTTGATGTTCAAACTGATCAAATAGATCAATAAGATGAGAAGACTTTTGAAGAACAGGTTCATCTACCCTTTCCCAAGTGCATTCATCATAAGGAAGACCAGTCCACTTCACAAATGCTTCACGCATGCCATCTTTTGAAACATGGAGAGAAATGACTCGCTGAGGCTGCTTCCACTTTTCCTCACAGATATTTATCACAGCTGTTCCATATTTTGCCTTGTAATTCTCTAGTTTTCTCTTTGCCAGAACTTTTAGTTCAGATTCAGAAATCCAACTGTTATGGATATGCGACTTTCCCATCCATTTTACTAAAAATTCATACGACACTGCTTGCTTTTCAGAAGATGCAGATTCAGCTACAGCTGCTTCCTGGACTTTATCTTCACTACTGCTACTCATTTTCATTTCTTCATGTGCCTCTCTTGTTTTTGCTGATTCATGAGAAACAATTATTTCAGAGTCTTTTGGGGCTTTATTGGTACAATGACTTCTCAAACTAACATCTGCATCCTTCTCCTCAGCCACCTTTTGATTTCCTTTTCCCAATTCCCCATTAGCTGTTGCAGATTCATCCTGATCTTTTCCATTTAGGTGAGCAGTATCCATATCTTCATTGTCTTTCCCCAATACAGCCATGGAATTACCATCTTTGCCATCTTTGGTCAAATATCTTCTGTATACATGTAATTTATCTACTTTGTTGTCATCCTTCATGCTTTCTTCCTTATCAGAACTTTTTACTATATCAGGACAACCCTCTGAAAAATTTTCAGCAACTCCTACATCCACATCATTTCCACAAGCAGAATTTTCCTTTGAAACTCTATTTCGATTTTTTGGCATTAGCAAATCATCAGAATGCAGGCCATCTGGAACTGCCACCAGAACAGGATGTGAAGAGCTTGCACTATCACCTTCAACTCGACATCCTAGAACCCGGTCAACCTATAGCGTAGACAAGTATGAGATGGAGAGAAAGCTTGCTAGTAAATAAAAAAACAAAGAATATTTTTTGTCTAAATCCAAGGCAGCAACCATGGAAGAAGCAGAGTCCACCTACCTGCTGAACTTCAGCAGTAACATTATCTTCATGAACCAGTGATGTATCATCAGCATCTTTATCCAACTTAGCTGATGGGTGATTCGCCTTTTCAGAATGCTTCTGAATGAAATGATAGCATTTACTTACACAATCAATTAAGACTTATATTGAAGTAATAGCCATAATGACAACACAAACAATCTCAGCAATGACAAATAAAGACAAGAACAATGATTATAGTTGTGATCTTGGTATAATGGATGCATCCCTTTGAAATGAATTCAAATAAGCCAACATTAAAATAGGAAAAATAGAGGGTAGCTGTAAATTTTTACAGCAGAGGCCACTAGGCAGAACCCCTTGTGAAAACATTCACCCACAACAGATCCAGCCATTGGAAATAGCACCAATGCCAATTACAAAACCAAACTCCTACATTAATCATTTGGACAACCTTGGACTATTTTAATATTTGTTAACCTAAAATTCAGTTTGTACATAGATCAGAAATGCAAGATCACTTACAGAATATATATATATATATATCAAACATAAATTGATTTTTATTTTTTGGCCAAAAACACACAAATTGTTAAAATGCAAAAGTTACCAGTTTCATACTCCACATTATTTTATCTACATAAACACTTCACAGAGAACCCAACCAAAAAAAAAAAGAAAAAGAAAAGAAAAGGAAACTCAAAATACTGACTGAGAAATGGAAAATAATCCTAAAGATTGTAAAATATACCTCATCTTTTCTCTGGGCATCAGAACTCTTGCTTCCAGCTTCCTCCTTTAGCAAGGGTGCAGAAACACCATTTTTAGTGGTTTTTTGTTTCTTCTTCATTTTACTCATTACCGGTCTAATGCTATTGGTTTTGAATCCATTACTGGAAGCACTAGCTGATTGTTTCCCCTTATCTGTCCTACGCTTCTTTTGACTGATCTCTTTACTGACATCCTGCTTTCTTTTTTTCTTATCCTCCACTGCTGTGCCAATGGCAAGAACAATTTCATTTCTTGGACACTTGTCATTACAAGACAATTCAGTTTTCCCTTGCAGGGAATCACCATTTTGATCTGTATCTGCTCTTTGGAAATGAGATGGAACTCCATCAGGAGTCAACTTTCTTTCTGCTAATGAATCAGGAATGCCCTGTTTTTCTTCAATGTCAACATTCATAGACAATGCATTACCATCTCCAGCACAATCAGAATCAGGAGATGTAATACTCGGCTTGCTGGTAGAAGGTACATCTAGTGGGGAGGAATCTTCTTTTCCTGAAGGTTCAACTCCCCTAGCTGAATCAGATTTTTCTTGTTTTGAAGATTGTTTCTCTGAAAGAATGGACCTCCCAAAAATCCGGGATACCCTCTCACTTGCAGGTAACCTTGTTCCAGATTGTGATTTTGAGTTAATTATTTTTGACCTTGCTCGCTTTGAAATGGATTCCAAACGGCTAATGGACCCTATTGGATCAGTCTTCAGACAACACTGTGGGCATTGCCACTTCCCAGTAGGAATGCGCTTCAGGTGATGAATTAGGAAAAAAAAAAGAGTTAAAAAGAATATTAAAGAACATAAAACAAGATTCAAATAGCAATAGTTGATACCACTTACAAAAACAAGCATACCTTAAGTGGTGGTTCAAGGCATTCCAGATGATAGGTACGTGGACAGCTATCACAACACAACAAATTGCCACCAAGATCACAAACCACACATTCATAGTAATACTGAAAGCCAATGAGTTTGAACAGATTGGAAGTCAGAACTTAAGAGAAAGTAAATAAATGCATAAAACACCACCAATATTGCAATGAAAATTTATGTAAGAGATAGCACATGGTAGAATATACCACTATAAAACAAAACCCATTGCTTAATTCTCAACCAAGGGACCCAAGTTTCATGCAAAATTGACAAATATAGTGATTCAGCAATTCAACTTACTCCAAGTGTATGGTAACATTTGATAAAGAGAGAAAGCCTGGTTTTGTGATGATTGCTCAATCAAAATTTGGGCAAAAATTAAAATGCTCCCAAAGTTCATGTGTCATGACATGGTAGCTACAACAATGAGCTTGAAGATTGGAAGTCAGAACTTAGACTAATTATATGTATGTTCATAGCACTGCCAACATTTGCAATGAACACGATATCAACAGAATACCAAAACCCATTGCTCAATTCTCAACGAAGGGCCTCCAAGTTTCACACGTTAATTCAACTAATTCAACTTACTTAAGGTGGATGGTAAGGTTTGATAATGGGAAAGTCAAGTTATGTAATAATTGTTTCAACCAAAATTCAAGTAAAAATTTAAATGGCCCCAAAGTTCATGAATCATGACATGATATCAAACCCAACGCCCATAAGGAAAAATAGCATCCCGATCAAGTAAGTACAGAAATGAACACTATGGCAATTAGGAAAATAAACAATTGACAAGAATAAAGCAACTGACCCCATCATTTCCTTTCCTCTTTGACAACAATTGATTGGAGCTTGTTTCACCTTTCAGCCTGCGTCTAGCAGAAGCATTCCTTGGAGATTCTGAGGCTACCAAGTTATCTTTTTTATCACTGGATAAGCTTGTTCCACATGGAACCTTTCTTCGTTTGCGCTTCAAGACCCAATTCCGGTTAATCATTTTCTGACCTGATGAACTATTATCCTTCATCTTCTCTAGTTACAGGTCTTACATTGCGATCAATAGCAACGGCAGCTACGTCATGTACAATAATAAGTTGGTAGAATAGACATTTGAACCATCAGTCTTAGCCACTGGAGTCCAAATTGTGTTTCCTATATTTTAACAATAAAATTGGAATTAGAAAGAGGAAAAACAGTAGGCAACAAACTGGAGTAAACCTTATGGCATTCACAAAAGATGCATAAAAATCAACATCAAGTGTCAGGAAGGGTGAAGTCAACACACTACCACACTGAAAGCATGTCAGAGAAGAGTTTATTAAAACTTTGTGCACTTGATGTTGTTGCAAAACTTTTAATATTTATATATATATATATATATATATCAATTCTTTATTGGATTCAAAAACTCAGAATAATAATCAACTACTACCTAATTCTTCTTACAAGGATAAGGATCAGAACACATTTACTCCAAACACTGACAGCAGGATGGGTTCAAACCTATCCCAACAAAACAAATTGAACAACTGGAGTTTCTAAACCAATGCAAACGGGTAAATACTTGCTAGATCCTTTATATTCGCATGTTAAAAAGTTGATTACATTAAAAGTTCCAAGGGCATTCCTAAATAGCCAATTCGAATTAGCATCAGGAGAAAATGCATGCCTAAAACTCAGTAGTACTAGCAGGTTAAAACAAGTTGGTAAAACCAATAAACTGCAAAAGATTATAAGTGAATCTAATGAAGCAACAACATCAAACAATTCATCCTAAAATGTCAAGTAATGTAAGAGAAGAACAACCAAAATCTAAACAATAACCTTCCAAACTTCCCAAGCATGGCACACTCACCTCACACTGAACCTAAAACCCCATTCACCAAAAACCCACCTCAATTCACAAACAAAATCCCGAAAACCGATCCCCATTTACCATATTTCTGCATAGAATCAAAATTCAAAAAAAAAAAAAAAAAAA